ATTAACTATGAAGCAGTAGGGAGTGGATCTAAAACTATTTTAGCGTCTTAATAGAATAAATTGTTCAAACTTTTGATATCCTACTAAAATTAAGGCATATTTTAAATTTGAAGTTAAACCACAAAAACAGCTCATTTTTAACTATTCTGTTAAAAATTTCAAAATTGTTTTAACTTTCACAATGGCCGTTTATGTGATAAAAGTATACTATCAGGTGAATCTGTGGAAATCGGCTACTGACAACAATTTTCAAGTAGTATATTGGTAACATCTTGTGCAAGAATCTTGAATTGTAAAGCAATGAATTAAGTTGCGACTAGGTGAACTGTATATTACTGTGAAGCAGCATTGAACGTATGAAATGAAGATAAAAGGTTTCTATACACCATTTTGCAAAACAAACAAATCTGATACTAATTATCACTGTACTCCGCTGCTAAAAATCAGTGATGATGTTTTTTCACTAGTGACTGGCCCTATTCAGGCAGCTACTTGGAGTTCTAGTGGGAAGCCGTGACCACTAGTGTACAGCACGTCGAAAGTGAGGACAGTTACTCATCGAAGAAGACATTACGAAGTGGTCGCACTATGTCGTGAATTAGCAGAAGTTAGAATTCATGGGCTGGCCGTTGGATCGGCTCCCAGTGGCTTAGTGGTCTACGAGCTAGCTCGCCTGGTAACCAGGAGGTCCTAAGTTCGATACCTGGTAGTGGGTGCGTACTGTGAAGAGTCCCAAACTGGGACGAAACAGTTGTCCAGTACTTCCTGGTTTTCCAGTGGTTCTCTAACCGATGTTAGCTCATGATGAAATCCTCCAACCAATCAAACAAAATCTCTACAAGACCAATACTTGAGAACTTTTTTGATAATTAACTCAGTTGAGTACACTGTGACGATGTATTATGACATGTTCATTTGTAAACCAGTAATGTAGTTTGAGACCTTATGATAACCCATGTGGCATTCATGTTATCAGTGTGGAACACAATCATATATGTGGTGTATCCGCTAAAAAATAGAATAACGCCTCAATAAAGTCCAGTGTGCTAGCTGTCAGGATTCTTTATTTGATGCGGCTTTCATCTCTTTTCAGGCAAAATGAGTTCAACAATTAAGCAAAAATAACAAAATTTCAAGTAATGGTTTACAGGCATTTGACTGGTTTCAAGTTCAATCACGACGTGACATCATTTAGATGCAATCAATATTATTACGAAGAATCATTTGTGTTCGGGATATCATCCAGTAAGTAATACTGTTCCACGATGTGATACATCCAATAAACAAATTAATATTGAAACCAGGGAGTACTGGACAGCAGTTTATTCCCTAAAAACTAAATTAGTCTACTGACTGGCCACACGATGAAGTTGTTTGGAGCTAAAAGAGAAAAGTAATAGCCAGTGAGCTTCACCAAGTCAAATTTGAGTACAAATATCTGGAGTGGACGTTGGTTGGCAGTGGTGCTACGTATCATAAATCGATAGGATACAAGATTCATAAACCATTGGATTCTGTCCCAGATACCAGTCGGATGGCCTCGTAACCCTAAGGTCCTTGGTTCGATCTCCAGTGGGGTAGTAAGTGGGTATTGCTGAAGAATTCCAGTCATCCCTGGTTTCTAATGTTTGTCTGACTAATATCAGCTTGTGATCTGAGTTAGAAACAACAAACTCATGAACAAAAGTATCGAAGTCAAATACACCAAATAAACTCTTACGTATGAAATAATCTTACTTTCAAGTGAACTTAAAGTGACTAATTATTCTACTCAGTTAATCAATACATTAATACATCGGCTATTAAAAAACAAAACAAAATAAGTAGACTAAATGAATTCCATTTTATTGATTATTTATAATAATAATAATAACAAAAACACTAATAAATAAAATTGGCCTTCAGGTAGAAAATATCAATGACAAAAAGACAAAATAACAAGAATAAGTAAACAGTATCGGAGTGTGTTATGTTAATAATGCATAAATCATCTTAAATACCTTATAAAGTTTTCAATTATCACCAAAAATAAAAATGCATTGTGGATCTCTATCTGCTACATGAGTTTAAATTTTGTTACGTAACTGTTAGGATTATGAGTATACGATTACTTTTAAAGTAATGAAACTGTCAAGCTGAATGAGTTGAAGTTACTAATACAAGTATGTACCATGACAAGCCATCAACTTCCCTGTCTAGTAATGCCAACCAAAGAGTTACGGCTGGTCAAACACACCAAAACATGGCTGTGGATTTTAGGTCAAGTATGGAGATGCAGACTGTCTGAATGGGGTCTTTGAGACTCTAAGAACCAATCGCTGAATACTATTGGTGACATGGATGTTAATTGTTCTCAATAGTGAAAATGCATTCACTCTTTATAAACTCTTAGATGTACTAAATTCTAATTATTCCATAAGTAATCACCGTTTCTTTGCTTTTTCCTCTGCCTTCATGTATGAGTTAACGAAGTGTGACAAACAGAACTGGTGATGTTTTGCGCACAGTTCAGCACAGTCCACTTTTTAAAAAATAAACATTTTTATAACTCAGAGAAAGTACAACAACTGTTTCGTAATAAATTGAAAGGCTAACCCATTATTTCCTTACAAAAGCAAATTACACTTACATTGAGTTTCTTCTTCAATAAGAGAAGAAGCAACTTTAAGTAATTTAACCGTTCAAATTATTAGAACGCACATTGCCTAGTGAGAGACTTCAGAGAAAATGCCGCTTGTTGCCTCAGCATTTCTGAGCTGCATATTAAAGAAGAAAGTATTATTAACCTCGATAAAGTGTTCTAGGTACAAGGCTTCTTGCCGATTGCCTCCAACTATCTAATATCATCAAACCAATGTACACCGTGATGGCGAGCTAACTAGAATGGTAGCCACATTGCGAACCTGAATGATAAAATTCAGTCTGTACCAAAGAAAGGACTAAACACATCACACTAGTTACTAGTGTCCAATCAAAGTGTTCTTTTATTAGTAATCATGCATATTGCACTTTGTTCCCTCTGAATTATCAAAGTAGAACGTTACACAACAGTTAAAGTCACCATGTGGTGAGAGCTGGCTGCTAGCCAAAGTTGGTAGATAGTAATTGACGTCAACGTTTATGTCCTAATATTGGTGGTGAGAAAATGAGAACAAAGGCTTTGCGTAGGCGGAAACAGTTAGCATATGGATGATCTGACACAGCCACAAAGAGATGCAAGGTTAACTTTCTGTGAGAAACAACCAATCAAAAGACTGTATTTTCTACTAACAATAATCTACAATAATGTACATTAAAATCTATAAATTTGTATTGATTTTCCTTAATAAACGATCTGTTTCCTGGCCCTTCTCTTCTGTTGTTACAACCACACTTCGTAAAAAGGAATGTAATGAAGCCATAGTAGACGAAAACATAAAACAGAAACAACAGTTAGATGCAGAATAATGACGACTTAATTGTGTCATGCTAAAATCTCTAGAAATAATTGCTTTCACAGATGAGTTTCCCTTCTTTTCTAAGAAATAAATCATATACTTTATTCTTCTGGTCTTCTTTTTAATTATATTTATTCAATGTGTTCATCTATTTGTTGCTGTTCACTCAAGTATTTTCTTTATTAAAATAATAGTACTTCCTCTTTAGGAACATTCCAAATAATTGTTTCCTTTCAATATAGTCCCTGATTTAAATTCAGTTAACATAAAGGCATTGACTAAAAGCTCACCTTGATAATTTACCTTAGTATGCCTCGTGTAAAGAGCTAGATTTCCGACGCAGAACTTTGGACAAAAGAGCAACAGTTCTAGTCGCCACATATACATGGAGGTAGAGAAAAAAATGCAAATAAGTGGAGAGGTACAGCAGGTAGAATAATGAGAATTTAATAGATCTCAGAGTTCACAAATAGTGAATGGACCTGAACCATTAAGAACGTTTTTAAATCATGTCAACGACAATCTTCAGTGAATGATTCTTATCGTCTTGATAACCCTAACTAGACTGGCATACATCCACCTGTGTGACTCATGCCAACAGTTAAGCATTTCATAGATTGATGTCATGTTTCGGTGTGACCACCCGTAACATTTTTTTCAGTCTGATCCTATGTCGGCCAACACTGCTCGACGAGGAATGAGATGGTTCAGAATGTGTTGAACATGTCCTGGCTATTTCAATTGATTCAGCTTTAGAATTTCATCAACTAGCTTTCTCCCTTCACTTAACACTGTACACCTAACCTCATTATTAGTTATCATATTATACTACCTACCATGAAAGATAAAATATGGATACGGTTAGTCTTCTGTGTATATTCCACTTTCAACGGTCTCGCAGTTATAAAGAAGGATAGAGCAAACTGTTGTGTAGTACTCCTCGTATTATCTATGGATCAGTCTAAACTATTTGTTAGAACTGAAGACTTTTTAAGTACAATACGCTTTTAATTGGCGGATGGTGACTAGCAGTGGAATCCAGGATGCGTATTTCATCTTATTTGGGATTCGTCTGCTGGATGTACCTGTATTCCGTTGCGAGTGATGATGTTTCCGACGGGGCTCGAACCCAGTGCCCACAGTTTCAAAAGCCAAAGCGTTATCCAATAGACCACTTGGGGTATGAGAGCGGGATGCAAGTACATCCAGATGACGAGTCCCAAATAGGACGAAATGGGTGTTATCGTGGATTCTACTGCTAGTCACCATCCACCAATTAACTTCTAACTACATGCCCAGATATCATCGAAGCATCTGCACAAGAAACCGACATGTCAACCTGAGACCGAGAACTTCGGTCCAATCAACCGACGGGAAAATCTAAAATTGAATTAAACAATACGCTTTGTTTCCTTTTTTTACTATTATACATTATCTCTTCAGCATATACTTTTGAATACATATGCATACAGTACAGTAAGAGTTAGTGTAAAGCAAAAAAGACATCCGTTGACATGAATAAGGTTAGTGGTAAAAAAAAAACCGCCAGCAAAAACAGACAAACTAAGCTGTTAATACAGGTTTTTGAAATAATGATGTAAGCATTCTAAATCCTCTTTCATTATTTTTCTTAAATTTATTCAATGTTCTTGATTCTATTTCACTTGGTCGTTCACATTCCAGTATCATTAAACGAGTTAACAGTTCAGGTAGACTTGAATAACACCGGAGTATTTGTTGTCTTGTTGGACCGTCAATAACAATTGTACGTACTAATTTTCCTTTATACAGGAATAAACGTCGACTCATTCGAATCTCACAACCAGTTCTTACTTCTAAACTAAGAAAAATATGCTTCATTTTACGATAAGTAGTAAGAAATTGAATACTATCTGATTTTTCTTGATGAATAAACATTGTATAACGTAGCCAACTATCATGGATTGATGTAAATCCACATTTTAAGACAGCATCGTCTAATTCATCAGCATTCGTATTATTTTCATTACCATTATCTAACTTTCTATTATTATTATTACATTTACCTTTAATTAGATATTTGTTTAAATTAATCTTTGGATTTTCAACTTCTCCATTACGCAGCCATTCTACTGAATCGGGTATATCTGATCGTAATACAGTAAATCCAAGTATAGAAGTACTTATTAGCGGTAATCGATTTTGTTTATTATAAACATCCAAGTTATTATTTATCTGATACTTATCCCGGCTATTCTTACCCAGCTGATTCTCCTGTCTTAATTCAGTTTGTTTAAAATTTTGTTGAACAGGTATACGATCAAAAAGAACAGGATCCCAGGTTTCAGCAAATGATGAACCAGTTTCACAATCATGATATACATCACCATCAGCTTTCATTGTTGAAGTATACTCATTCTCTTGTATATGATTCAATTTATTATTATAACTCATTACATTACCATGACTTATATCATTTGCATCAACCTTTATTGTTGTTATTCTATGATTTGCATTACTACTACCTGTATCACAGATTTTATGTGATTCATTTTCGTTAATATTATCACCAGCTTGTTGTGCATTTAAGGCATTTTCGTGTATACTACAACCACTAGCAGTAATACTATTATTACTATTTTTTCTACAAGTTAATGAATTTTTACATTTAGAATCAGAAGAATGTAATTCTTCATTAGTTGAACACTGTGAATCTTCTTCGTTTGTAACTTTTAGACAGTTTCCCATTAAATAAACTTCATTCACTAATATTCCTTTCTCTTTTTTTTTACTTTTATATTTTTAATTTTCTATCTTCAATTTTGTTTTTATTTAAATTTTTAACATTCAGTGTGTATTCTACTTTATGATGGATGGATGAGTGAATGACTGGAATCTCTTCTCTATTCTTTTTAGTTATTTAAACAATATGCTTATATTGATCGACTGATAATAAGTTTTCAATACACTATAGATAATATGTCAGTCATCACGTGATGTGAATCTGACACTAAGATTTCAAAGAGAATGTCACAATTGTATGGTATTCTTCATTTCCTTCATGTTCTTTAATTCTTCTTAAATTTAACTGTTTTGAGTCTACAAATATTGAGTTCATCAGTAGTTTACTGGATAGCTAGTTGGACATTCATTAGTTTACTGAATAAAATTGAAAAATCGGTGTCAAAGTCAACTACAGAATGTATTTTTATACTGGTCGACTATCAATTGGCCTTTTGTGTCCGTCAGATATCATGTGTTGGTTTCCAGGAATTTGACTGGTTACAGGCTTGCCCACGAATTGATATCAGTCAGTGAACCATTAGAAAACCTGGTTGTACTGAACAGCTGTTTCGTTCTAGTTTTGGATCAGTTACTCGTCTATGACGGTGACTGGTAGTTGTGCAGAGAACATAGGACTCCAGGTGAATATAGACAAGAAGGAGGTGATGAAGATAACCAACCAACCAACCAACAACAACAACAACAACCAGCACCAGTCAACATCAACGGGAGAGATTTGATAGAGGTTACTTCCTTCAGTTATCTGATCAGGAAGCATCGTTTCAACTACAGACAGTCGAAGCGGATGAAGATGTCAACACAAAACAGAATCAGGAAGGCAAGGTACGCCTTCATCAACCTGAAACCAGTTTGGAAATCTTATGCACTGCACTCAGTCAGCATAAAGAACAAGATTCGGATTTTCAACACAAATGTGAAGTCAGTCACCTTTTATATACGGGTCAGAAACTTGGCCAGCGTGTAACGAAAAGCATTTCCAACAAGTTACTGACTTTCGCCAACAGCTGCCCACTTCGCTGGCTCCATACTGAAGATCAAATGACCATCCGGCCAGAAAGAACTAGTAACAAGAGACTCTGGCTGAGATCAAACCAATCAAGAGCCGATTGTTTAACAAATATGTAGGAGAAAATAGAGATGGATTAGGCATCCGTTGAGGAGGCCGTCGAGTGACATTGCTCACCAGGCCATCAAGTGGAATCCCAGTGGGCAACGAAGAGTGGGTCGTCAGTGCGAGAGTGACATGGAGGAGATCATGTAGTGAGGAAGAGATGAGATATTATGGGCAATCGTCGACCCAGACGAAGAGGACAGTAGAAAAGAGAACAAAGTGGAGATGTGTTGTTAAAGCCCTATGTTCCACTCAGAACACAAGATAACAAAAATAATAATATTATGATAAACTAACAGGTCTATGTGGCTGAATGGCCTACGAGCTCGCCTTGTAGTCTGAAGGTCTTAAGTTCAAACCCCATTGGGTGCGTACTGACGAAGAGCCACCAACTAGGACGAAACAGCTGTCCAGTACTCCACAGCTTACAGTGTTTTTTTAATTGATGCCAAATATTTTGTAATTCAAGTATTGGTTTGTAGGGATTTGATTGATGGTTACAGGATTTTATCATGAGCTGACATCAGTTAGAGAACCATTGGAAAACCTGCAGGGAGTACTGGACAACTGTTTCGTCCTAGTTTGAGACCCTTCATCAGTACGCACCCACCACAGGGGTTCGTACCCTGGACCTTCTGGTTACTAGGCGAGCTAGCTCGTAGACCATTGAGATACTGGGACCCGATCCGATGGTCCATGAATTTATTTTTATTTAGGTAATCATAGAGTTTATGATTTATTCAAATTATTCTTTTTACGTACTCCTTGAAAACGAAGATTAAAGAGCAGTGATAAAAGTTTTTCCATCAATCGGTCAGTTAAATGACTTCATTTTCTAATTATTCTCATCTCACTCGTAAAAAGGTGAAGAATAAATAATCTTAAAGTAATTAAACATGATGACTACTTACAAAACAAGTTTATCGAGGCGAATTATTTATTTAGACTATATGATATTATTATTCCTTTGCGTTTCGAGTGGAACATAGGGCTTCACCAGCATATCTCCACTTCACTTTGCTCTTGTTAGATTTTTTAGCTGACTCAATGAGTTTTTATAATTCCCTTCACATGATCTTCATATCACCTTCGCACTCATACCCAATTCGTCGTTTCCCGTTAGGGTTCCATTTTAAAACCTGCCTGTCATGTGACGTCATTTAATGGTCTCCTCAATGTATGTCTAATCCGACTGCATTTTCTTCTGCATAACTGTTGAGTAATACTTTCTTGGTTGGTTCATTGTACTGCAGAGTTCTTTGTCGCTTATTCTTCCTGGAGACCTGATCTTCGGTATGGAGAGAAGGCAAATGTTGATGAAAGTCTACAGCCTGTTGAAAATACTTTCCGTGATGCTCCAAGTTTCTGAACTGTATAAAAGCACTAAGTTGAATTTAGTGTTGAAAATTCGAATCTTGTTTCTTATGACGAGTTCGGTAGATTACCACAGTGATTTCTAAAGCAATGAAGGTCTCTCTTTCTTTTCGATACTAAGTGGCTTTAACATCTTCATACGCGTCACCTTTTATTGAAACGATGTTGCCTAGATAAACGAAAAAGGTGACTTTCTTTAGATTTCTCCCATTGATGGTGAGTGCTGTTTGTTGTTGTTTATGGCAAGGTATCTTCATCACCTCTGTCTTCTATATGTCCAAATTAATTAACTGTTTGTCGATGGCTAGCTGTGGAAAGCAGGACACAAGTTTCATTCTCTTCAGGACTCATCATCTGTAGTAAGTAACAGTCTTAACACTGGGACTCGAACCCAGAAATCGTCACTTCAAACAGCAAAACCTCACCTACTAAGCTATGCAGCCATGAAAATCGCCTGCCATGTCAATTGGGTGTCAACTGTTATATTTTTGGATTTCTCCTTGATTAATTTCTACTGGAGAGAAACTTATATTCTCACTACAGTTGAATTTGAGCTTCATATGAGACAAACAAATCTAACAAATTATTATGTCGCTTCAAGCGATGACAGCTGCCTTTACTCATTATTGAAGATCATATAACCGCAAGGAATAAGCGGCAAGGAACTCTGGAGAAAAACCAGCTAAAAATTCATCGCATAAAAAATATGCAGAAGGAAATGGAAATGGGTTGAAAATATGCTGGCAAGAGACATCGTACGCCAAGCAGGGCCTCAAGCATTACCTGAACGGAAAGCGACGAGTTTGGTATGCAATTGTGACTTGGAGAAGATCATGAGCAGATAAAATCAAAGAGATTTTGGAGCAAGCCGAAAAGAACAGCAAAGGACAGAGTGAAATGGCAATGTGCTGCTGAAGCCTTATCTTCTACTCGAAATCCAAGGGATGACTAATGATAATAATTCAATTCACGACAGCACACAGAGAGGAGGTAAACACGAATATATACGCATTAAAACAAATAAAAATAGTGTATAAGAGTTCGGTGTATTTCTAGTTCTATTGCAAACAGTTTCAGATTTGTACATGCATTTAATTGGGCTTAGTTTATTTTGTTTGAATTAGAGTCTTTGTAATCTTTGTCTTACGACTTCTAATTTCGCCAGTATGGTAGTACTCAATTTCATTTTGTTAAATAGCCAAGAGGGTAAGCAAAATGAGAAATACATGATCTGGGTTAAAAGACCTCACAGTCGTCAAAATGTCTCTACATGAATTGCAAGTCATCAGAAAGATTACACTTGAGTATAAGGGTGGCATAATAAGAGGACTGAGCTCCCTACAGGATGCCTAGCAAAAGAACACATGAAACATATCGCTAACTATTCATGAATAAATATGCCCTACCTCCAGTACTCATCTCCATACTGCTTCTTATCATTTCAAACATCACAGCATTATCCAGTAATCATACATTCTTTAATGAACACTTGTCAGGAACAAATTAAATGTAGCATAGTGCTTCAGTCAATGATTGTCGGTCGTAAAACAAGTGGGTCCCAGTGGCTGAATGGTATACGAGCTTGCCTTGTAACCGGAAGGTCCTGGGTTCGAATCCCAGTGGGTGCGTACTGCCGATGATTCCCAAAAAAGCCCTATGTTCCTCTAGGAACTAAAGGAAATAATAATAATAATAAAACAAGTGAAAATTTCTCTCTGAAAAGATTAATCCACTAAATAACTAACTAAAGGTCAAACTTTCACCGAAAATAGCTTTGTTTCAATACGACCCAAAAAGTATTAAGGTCAGACAGCTTAACGCGTCATAAAAAAAATAAAGCAACTATATAAGTCAATCAGGATTATTCTTTGAAATTTTTTTAGATTCAATTGTTCGTCGAAATCAGTTAACCAACGGAAAAGACCAATCAATAACAATAGTAAGTAGATACGTTCTGAATAAAAGGTCACACATTATGAGTTAGTAGACTAAATTGAGTATGAAGCTATGTTAGCCAAGTAAATTAGTTCTTATATACCCCAATGATGAGGAATTGAAACCGAAGTAATCAAAATTAATTAATTTTAAGTTGGATCACAGGTTGAGATCAGTTAGAGGACTACCGAGTACTGGACAGATGTCTCAATCTAGCTGGAGACTCTTCAGCACTGACACAATAGCACATGGCTGCTAACTTCTACCAATTCGTGATTTTAGCGCCACTGACACCAGCGAATATCATATGCTGGGTGGACCCCACTGATCAGGACTTCTCACTAGAACTCCAAGCAACTTCGTCCTGTAGTCAGTTACTAGAGAACATCAAATCAATTTTCAGTAGTAAACATTAAGATAAACAACACTCTTTACAAAAAAGTTCTAATTAATTCACCTAGACTGATGACAGAGGACTCAATATAAAATATTAAAGGTTGAAGAACATTATGCAATCAATATTTTCACCCTTAGCTACACAATTTTTCTAATATTGTAGATAAAATTATATCATCTATAATCGACTTTGAATCCCATTGATATCTTTTTACGCTTAACAGAAGTACTGGTACAGATCTTCACTGAAACTGAGTAATTGTGGTATTGAATGAAACCTGTGAGTACTGACACTATTACACTTAACCGTCTAAAAGGTATTGAAAAACAACGGTTATCCTCAAAGATTCATTAATAGATATGGAAGATGTAAAGGCTCAAACATCAAACAAATCACAGTTGAAAAGAAGCCTGTCTTCATTCAACTAGATTTCAACATTGCAGCAATGGTCAACAGAAGACTGAGTACGTCACTACCCACAGTCTATCCGGCAGCTAAGTTGGTTCCCGTTCATCGAACATGTCCTTTGGTGCAGTCAAAAGCCGACAGATATCCTTCTCATGTTAACAACTCCAACTGTGTATACAAATTTACGTGTATCTGCAGGAGCAGTTACATTGGGAGAACAGAAAGAAGGGCACACCTCCGATTTTCTGAACATGTACTGAAAAGCCTACGTCTCAAGGGAACAAACTCTTATAATAGCGCTATTACCAGACATCTCTTCGGTACGGGTCATGAGGTGGAAATCGCGAAATCCTTTAAAATAATCAATAAACAAAGGAGCTCGATTCTCCTCAAGTTTGTCGAAGCAATTTCCATCAGACGCTTGAAACCAGATTTATGTGTTCAGAAACATGCAGTTATCAGTCTTTCCTTAGAGTGGTAACTGGATGTCTTTATTCTTTCTTTCATTTCATTACATAATCTTTGGCTTTAACCTGAACCCCCCCCCCTTGATATAATGTGATTTTGCTTGTCTCTTGTTTCTATAATTTGAGTTGAACTCAGTACATTGTTACCTAATTTATTAGTCACTCAGCATCTTGCGCATCTCTCGTATTTATTACGTAACTCCTTTACCATTGTATTCATACATTTATTTTGTTTAAACTTGAACTCCCTGTGCCAAAACTATATGTGTAATTTTTTGAGCACTGTTCACTAACTGCCGGACTTCCTGTCATCTGACATCATACAAAATTTGCAGGTATGTTAAAACTTTTCTGTACATAAACTTCATAATTTATTTAGGCTGTAATTAGATGATGAGAAGGCAACGAAATAAATGATGATACCATATTATTCTGCCCAAACCACTGTTGTTCCTACTTTGTTCAAATTCATCAGGGGGAATAAATGCATGAACTTAACCATTTACCTGAAAGTATGTCATCCATTCAGAGCTATTTTATGCTTCAAGGATAAGTCAAAGATTGTTTTGTTCGTTATTTACTAGAGATTTCTTTGAGACACCAACAAAAATACTTCACTGGCTTCTCCAGAAATTAGGTTACTAAGCTGACAGCATTTTCTCTTCAACCATATCCAACTTCTGTCTCATTAAGTTTGGGAAATAACTCCGTAGATCATAAAGTCCCAAACACTAACAATTTACCCCTTCTCCAATAATGTAAAATCAAGAAGGAAGTGGAATCTAACACAGAGTTTATAAAAAGCATGCAGAGAACAAATCATTTACTAACAAAACAAACAAATGTCGAACCTCAACGACGGAGTAAAATACTTCAATGAGCACGGAATACAAGCAGAATGCACTCCCATCGTTAAACAAAATATGCATGCAAACTCCAGAAATGATATTCGAATAGATAAATTCAAAAGAAACTTTCCTAAGAATTAAATTTACCAACCAAACAGTTCGCCAAACATCCACGTGGTCCAAGGTTAGCCCTCCCGGTTGGCGTACTCCTAAGTCTCACCTAGTTTTCTAGCTGACTGCACGCCTGGGATAGAGGGAAATCTGGACGTAAGACTAGGGACCCCACCCCTCTACTGAAATCTCAAGGCTTGAAGCTTCGTGTTCCCCTCAGGATGCAAGTAATGAGAAAAAACCCAATAGATTAGATATATTGCATTCATTAGGACTCATATTTCGTTGTTACTTGATTGTGCAACAATTTTATTCGACTTCATCAATGGGACTATGTACAACAAATGAGTGTGCACTCAACTGAATACGTACCAACAACTCATGCAATTATTTCTACAGTAACCACTTACTCTGCAATAAACTAACGATACTAAGTTTTAAAAAACGTACAGACAAGTTTTCGCTAACGGTGCCAGCTCAATCGTACTTCATACCGATTATTCGAAGGTAAAGAAACTCTCTTAAAAACAATAAACAGTTAGCCGACCAAATATAAAATTGTAATCGTATCATCCTAACTCCAACGAATGTATGTAACGACAGAAGGCAAGAGTCAGGCAACAGATCACTTATTAAGGAAATCAACGCATATTTATATATATTTCATGTACATTACTATGGATATTTAAGTAAACAAACACAGTCTTCCGATTGGTTGTTTCTCACGTAAAGTTAATCTTTCATCTATTTGTGACTGTTTCTTGAATGTCAAATCCTCTATCTGTTAACTGCATCCGCCTACGCACAGTCTGCTGTGGTCGGTTTTGAATCAATCTTTGTTCACATTTTCTCACGACAAATCTTGGGAACGTAAATATTGACGTAAATTACTGTCTACCAATTTGGCTAGTAGACAGCTCTCACCACATGTACACCTATCACTAGTGATACATGGCTCTCATAATCAGTAAGATGGCATTTGCATTATTCCCAAACAAACTTCACTCCATTTAGCGAAAATAGTGTTCTAACACAAAAGTTACTCGGGTCGTTCAATTAAATGCTCATATAGTTAATTGTTACTGATTACAAATAATTTCGCACTCAAAATTACAGTTAATATTTGTCCTTCAACATACGGATGTTAAGTTGGGAGTGTTCCTCAAAAAGACAGTTCGGCGCAATCAATTCGTAACTAGTTGCTTACCCATAGTAGTCTGCTTTGCATACCTCACATTTAAGAATCAAGGAGAGAGAATAAAAGTGAAACGAAACGGATGCTAGTAGACAAATTCTACAAAATCTAAACATGCGCATTGCCTTCAGCGCTGTGGTGGTATATAATTTGTTTGTATTTAAAACATTTTCCAGTAAATAACAAAGGGATCATACCATCAACACACAAAGCCCCAGGCCTGACAGACTTCAAGGTACTTGTGTTTCTATATGGGCATAAATCATTAACAGCTGCGGAACTAGTTATTCTAACATAAGCACAGTGCTCCTATGCATGACTGAAAAGTAATGCCGGTAACCATTTTTTTTCATTGATGCCACAGTTGCTTTTACTGAAGATACGATTATACCTTGGCAATACATTCTTAATACCAGGTTCATACGTAGTGCAAGACTTTGCAAGGTTGTATCCTGTTGAGGCAGACAATTTAATGTTCTAGTATACCCCACTGGGTACAAAGATGCCTTATGGACTTCATCCACTTGAGTAAGAAGAAACACTGGTTCTCAGTTGATTTAGTGTTCTCAAAAATGATCTTTTATGCCGAAATTCTCTACTTAAATAGTAAGTCCTTATAATATAACAGACTATACATTACAACTTTCTCCTGATACTTCTGGGAAAAAGCTCCCACTAAGGGAGCGAACTAAAATCTGTCGGATAACTTTTTCTAAGAGAAAAGTCAAAGAGATACATTGAAATATATTTATCAATGCTCCAATCACATGTCAATAAGTCATCATAAAACTCCACAAAACTTCGCCTTTCATAACTTGATTCACATGGAAACGAGACGTAGTACGATTCGTTAAATTGTCAGTTTACTTTACTTTGCGTTATGCTGGTCAACCAACTTAACCATTGAAACTTCAAATGTTTACGGATACCGACAAAACCTGTCATCACCAGGCCTAGCTAGATTCACATCCACTATTGATACCTGTCTTACACAGCACATTTAAATGATTAGAACATTGTAGTTCATACTGTAATACATCACACTAGTTACCTGTTTCTTTGGACGACTTCCCTCGACAACCACAATAACAACTCCGGATTCAAAAAGTGATTAACTACTTTTGCTGTCGTGATACCGTTGCTACAATGGACTACATGCACTGCGTTATCTCTCATCTAGTCCTCGTTAATTCACAGCAAGGCCTTGGGAGTAATGCAGATGATACCGTTAGGTTGGAAGCGAATATGCAGACAGGTGATGTAGAAACAGTTCGAGACTGGACTGCCTTGGTCATGAAAGTATGTACGCTCAGCATCATCACTGATGAACTACTACCAGCGACAACGGTATGTGCTAGGAAGATTACGCGTTTACCATTCACCGTCAAAAACCACGATTTCCACAAAGTAAGCGAAAAGTCAAGCAGTTCAACCAGCAAGACAAAACACTTTATTTTCATTTAAATATTTTGCCCTGGTTAAATGGTCTGTCCTGAAACTTGCGTGTGAAGTAATCGTGAACAAGACTCTTCGTTTCTTCAGCTTGAGGATCTAGCTTCCGCCAGTTGTAAGACTCGTAGTCGACTTGAAGATCTTCATCTAGCTCAAAAGCAAGACCAGTACCACGCCAAATCCAAAGACCACCAACGGTATTATTGTTGTTTTCTCCAAAGATACACATGCTAGCAAACGCATACTTGATCATCCTGCGAATAAAAGTCATTCAAAAAATATCATTCTCTGAAAAAATGATCATGAAAGGCGAAAAGCATACAGTGCTAGTACAATTACCAGCTTGTCACATACAGAACCAACTGAACAGTAAAGACATGTAAAAGAGTATATAAGTACCTTCGCAGTTAATTAGTGACCTCTAAAAACAATTAAGTATACGTAACACATTGAGGGACACTACGTATGTATATATACTTACTTTTCTACTCGTTGGAAAAAGCCACCAATAAGATTAGATGTCATAAACACCAGTGATAACTCCTCAGGGTACTTGTACTCACAATACCAAATGGAGTGCGTTTCTGGGTCAAAATTACTCCAGAAGTAAGGAATCGCTTCTTTCTCAATGTCCATGTTACTGTACACTCTTTTAAAGGCATCCATGTCAAACTTTCCAGCGGGTAGATTCGCAAGGGCATTTTTACTAGGCTTCGGGCGTTCCTCTTCTTCATCATCGTTGGCAGCAGGTTTTTCTTTTTTAGCAGGAGTCTCCTTTTTGGCAGGAGCTTCCTTCTTGGGTTTTTCTTTTGATTCCTTGGGTGGCTTAGTCTCAGTGACCTTTGAAATTAACAGTATTAATTTGAACCTACCTTTCCATGTAACTCGGCATACTTTTTGGCATCAAACTGGGCAGCCTTAACACAAAACGATGACTTCCCAACCACTTTCATCACTTCTGGCTGGTTAGCAACAGTGGTATACCAACGTACAACATGAGGGAAAGGCTTTCGATCGTTCTCTTCATAAACATGAGTAAACAACGGATGCAGTGCTGTGAATACGGTTATGTCGGCTTGAGACAACCGATCACCTACAAGGAAAGTTCTGATTTAAATAAAAAAGGATGGTGTGAAACTTACACCTTGCTTAGCTGTTCGTTCAAAAACTTAAGAACAGACAATAGCGAACTTTTAGCCTTCTCTGTGTTTTGTTTGTTGAACTGTGTGATACCAAGACACGGATAAACCCATGTCGCGACGGAAGGGAGTATGCAATTGTCTGCATAGTTAGCCCATTGAGTAACGAAATTTGAATTCTGACCACCTAGTTTTGTGGTTAATGCGTGATAATTCACTCACCTCTCAGCTGATTGGTTCCCAAATAATACGCGATAGCATTCACATCAAACAGGCATGTCCCATCTTGCGCCTCGAATACTGGGACAGTAGATGGAGGGAATTTAGCCAAGAATGACTTCTCGTTGTCTGTTTCACCGGGGACAAAATTCACTATCTTTAAAGTAGCACCACTAAACTGAGCCGCTATCTGAGCTCTCCAGGATCTGTGGTATCCCTGAGGGGTATATAGGGTTCCTGATATTGTCATTCTAAGAAACTCGGTCCAGGCGTGCTAGTAACCCCAACAATCAAAAGTGCGGCGAATTTGACTTACGATATTCACTAGTATCAATAAACAACACGAAATAAGTTGGATGAGAATATGTCTGCCACAGAGAATAATCAGTCACACCAACGGTCATATCATGTGAGCAATGCATTTCAAAATTAATATCTCAATCAAATGAGCATTTCCAACACCGTGGTTAGTGTGGCAGAATACAGGACTGATTAATACATATCAGTGCTGACTAAGCAGTGTAGTTTAGCACAGAAAGTCTGTGATGCATTTCTTTTTCTCTGGATAGAATGTTGATTTGTGTAATATATTCTGGTGCATAATACGAACAACCTTCACAATCAAGTAAAACTGACAACGATTTTAGAGATTATCTAGATAACGCAAAGTTGGTTCCCTATTTCAAGATTGAAGACATCAGCAGCATTCAGAATTGAATTGCCAAGATGGAACTAAACATTTGCATCCCACAATATATGTAGACCTTATTCAAATCCCCATTCTCCAATTCTAAGTCTAGCTTTCTATTCATCAAAAAGGTAGATGTTGCGGAAGCGAACAAAATTACAAGGGAACAAAGTATATAAATGTATAACTCAATCGTTCAGGCCTGGGAGTAATGTAGGTGATGAGCTTTCTTGGCGTGATAATCTACTTTAAAAGTGTTAATCCCAAAGGGGGTTCAGCGAAATATTCAGCTCCATAGTTCAATAAGCTCAACAAAAATAGACTGATAAAGTCAAGTTATTACAAACTGAGCTACCTTAGCTTGTGGGGTGATATAATAACCACCTGACATCATTCATGAGAGACTATTCGCATTATTTCTCTTGGCACTTGGCTCTCAAATGTTTTTCCATCAGGTCTCCAAACTTCTGTCCCACTTCCCCTCAAGCTGTTACTCGTGTAAAGCCTCAATGCCACCTATTTTTAGTTAAATTCATCTCATTAAACTCCTAGAATCTTATCATACATTTGATCTAAACTGTATTATTACATTCAACATGTTTGCTGTCCGTGGTTTTGTAGTATTAAACCACATGCTTCTTAAACCTCCTCCTTACTCAAATGATGGAGAATGGAGCATTTGACTGACAGCATCTTGAGAACTACAGTAAGGAACTGCATGTCTTTTCCGAGCGTTTCAAACTTGAACTCAATAACTCCTCGGATTTCACGCTACCCTTAGAAAGACAAAGTCTGCAAGTAAAGTATTTACAGCTATCATGCTTCAGTTTTGTTATACAACCTGAACCGTTTCTGTCATCTAGACCCTCTCCACTTTGACTTCAAAAATCATCAAGGGCTTCAGTGCACTAGTTAAAACCGAAATTATATGAGAGGCAGGGTCAGTGGTGAGTAGGCGATCCAACTTTATTGTATTCCCTGGTCTCCATCCACCCTAACAGATGTCAAATGGTTTGATGGTAATTTGTTTAACATGACAAACTGCTGTACCTCATTTGCTTGTGATATGGTGACATTTCGATGTTTGGGGAACCACCATGGTATTATAGCATATATATCACACCTCAATTAGACAAATTCTATGACACTCAGTGATTGTCAACAAGCTATCTGTTCATGCTGAATCACTACCTTTACTTAGTAGTCTCAGTGAAAAATATTGTGAACGGTGGTGTCAAAACAGAAGAGTTTATGTGCTGAATACCCAGATCAGAAACTGTCAGTAATTGCCAATAACGCTATCGATACGTACAGCTGCTGTCAGAATATAATCCTCCAAACTTCAGAAAACCATGTATGTATTTAATGACCAACTCAAATTCAGAGGGACAGACAACAAGAGATAGGCTAAGAAGTCAAAAATTTATTGTCCAGCCAGCGATAAACCAGTAGGACGAGCTTAATGATAAAGACGTCTGATCATTTAGTTCACAGTTGGATACTACGGATGCACTGGAAAATTCTAAATGTTTCACGTCAATGTGACCTACGTCAGTACCCCTGATTTCATCTCTCTGGTACCCAGTCGATGAGTGAGCGTTAAAGCCTCGTCAAAGATTGTCATTTCGGCGAAAATGAGACCAGTTGAGATAAGCGAGATCATCACTCAACGTTCACCAACCATGACATCCTGTACAACCGGAGGCTACTCATTCGGCGCCTGTGTACTCCTTTTTACTACTGATCTCGCTGAAGCTGAGTTGGTTATTAAACACCTAAATAGTGTTCTGAGTCCTGGAGGATTATTTTCTGACTGCAGTAATAAGTGTCGAAAGTATTACTGGCTGTTACTGAACTGGTCATTTGACAGTTCCTGGCCTGCCCGTATAGAGGTGTGCAGACGGGGGGCTCCTGTTTCAGTGATACAGTAGGTATTTCCTGGACTACGCTTCCTAAATTTACTTGTTCGACCTTCTTTCTTCGTGAGACACTGCCGGTAGTTTTTTCTGGTTCCTGTGGATTCATTGATGTGAAAGTTATGAGCACTATGTTTTTTCCATTGGTGACCTTCAGTTGTTTATCTGGATAAACATTGTTTGCAATATTACTTTCGGTTTGTTCTTTGGTGATGTCTTCTAAAGCCTGGGTCAAGAATGGGATAAGGCAGTTGGGAAGTAAACAATACGAATTGCCTTGGTAAAGAAATGCATCGTGTTAATGATTCACTGTTTATTGTTAAACTGTTTCAGTTCGTTCCTTAGCAGTTGTTTGCTAATGGTCAACGTAGGATCCCATATATCCGACCCCGATTTTATAACGCTCGTGATTATGCAGGTTAGTTTCTTGTGTGGTGAGAGCTGTCTGCAAGACAAAATTGTAGACAACAACTGACGTCAATGTTTATATCCCAAATAGGGGTCACGAGAAAAAACAAGAGCAACGCCTAACCTTCAGGAGCTCAACAACCAATCACAGTAGACTTAGCGTGTGCAAATACGATTCGCAGATACACAGATAACCAATCAGAAGACGTTGCTTCTCTGCTAAAATAATAGTGTACATAAAATGTATAAATATCTCTTGATTTTCTCAATAAATGATCTTTCGCCTGGCCCTTGTCTTATGTTGTTACACTTAGTTCCACCATTATTCCTGTTACATTTCGATTATATCTGTAATATTGCTAAACACGTCAGGCCTTTTCTGTTCGTCGATCACATCAAGACAGTGTTCCACTCACTCTGGAATAACGTGTTACGGGCGTCTGATAGTATTCAGGATGATATCAATAACGCTCACTTATGGTGCCAAGAGTGGGAAATAGAGTTTGACTTTGAAAATTGGAGCACTGTGCTTCAAGAACATTTCGCCCTAACTTTCTCTTTCCCCAAAACAATATTCACGTTTCTTCTCTATCACTCACAAAAGATTTGAGTTTCAAATATTCCCTAGAATTCAGCTTTACATAATATATTATACTGCAGGCATCAAAAGTAAAAAGTCCCTTCGGATATTTAATCCGATACTTAGAGACGTCCGAATCTAAAGTGCTGCTGCGAAATTCATGCATAAGACCGTTATTTACATTGTGTCCCCTGTCACATAAATTGTCTCAACAGAAGACGCGTGCAAAATACAAAGCCTACAAAAATTAATGAGGAAGAATCTCCTCATTTCTAACTCTGATAGATGCAGCATGTCCCCCTTGGAACTTTTATGGATCATAAGATTTAAGTTCGACCTGAAGTTTACTTTACGGGTTGCTAAAGGGTTTATATGTTTTCCCCTTAATGACTTCTAATAATGATGATAATTTTTATTTCGTATAAACGGACAAGTTTGCAAGAAATGCATGCCATTTTTACAGTTACGATCAGCTGTTATAAATCATAATCCTGAGGTATCATAAATTAATACTTTCTCAAAAGTTTCAATTGTTCAGTTATTGTACAAGAAATCAGAACAGGTTCTTATAAATGTTAAATTGTAAACCCTTCACTAAGGTCACCATCAAAGTTGAGCGACAGCCCAAACTTCGTTCCGTTTCCTGCTGATAGTTATGGTCAACCAGTGAACAGCGTATATCTGGGTGAGTGCTATGCCGCCACGTGACTGAGCGCTATTTCAGGAAAAGAAGAAGATTCTGCGCAGCTGAAAAATGGTGTAAAATGCAATTATGAATAATATATTATTGTCAGTATATTTACAAGATAAATACAAGGAGAAGATATATGGTACTTGAAATGATAGTATACATTTGAAATGTTTAATGCTAACCATATTGGTCTAAGCATGGGAAATATGATGTTTAGGTGAAGATATAGCTTTGTTCAAACATTGGTGTTGTTGTGTCTTTCATCAAAGCAACCGGACTTAAAGCAAGCAACAAATATGAACAAAGAGCAAGTTTTAGCATTAGTGAAGGCCCAGGTGGTTAAGATCAGATGGAGTATAATAGTGCGTAAATAAAAAGATTATTGTGAGGTAGGTAAATGATATTTAAGTGAGGAGTGAATTCAAAGATCTGGAAAATTAGAACCCGTAGGACAAGCTGGCCTGTAAGATATCTCACGAATTTCTGTGGGTCCCAATGGGTAGCATCTTGACAAGAAGCTGAACTGGCTTGTAGATGGTAGGAGCAAAAGCACTTTTTTATTTATAATTACGATCTGCACAACCCTTATTATTTTTCGTGTTTTTGTTGAGGGTCCAGACTAATGTTTAATTCTCGAGCTGTTGAAAAATGCATGTTGCTGTCCTAAACATCGGAGCGGTTCACATTTGTGACCACTACCATTTCTGCTGATCAGCAAGCACCACCCTTGATGTTAAGCTCTGAGATTTCTTCGCAGTAACTGTAGTATTAGCACTGCATTGCTCTGAGCCCGTCCCAACCATATAGTATGCTGTACATTAATAGCCTTCATGACAAGCGCTTCCCATTAGGTCACCAGATACATCCACACCTGAGGACATTCTTGGCACTATTACCTTTATACATGTATACAAGTGTTTTTCATAAACGCCTAGGAAATTGCGTTTAATTTAAGAAGTATAAAGTATAGAAGTAGCTAGTATTACAGCAACTAAGTTATAGTCTATTTAACAGAATAAAATGTGCAGTGGAACAATTAATGATAAAATCATGTATAATGATCCCTAAGAAAACAGTTGGTTAACAGAACTAGTTATACTGGTACATTTCTGTTGTATTTACTTTGTAGTACAAGTTGCACTGATCTACATTCCGACTGAAGCTGAGAAACAATTGAAGTCACTTACTCATATATTATCCCTCAAGGTTTGGCTAGTAATGGCTCAGCATCCTCGATGAAAT